GTGATGTGCACACCGCCTCCGCTCAAATGTATCTTCTCTGTGTTATCCTTGATGGCAGTGCCGGCGTAACGCCACCTCCTCCTCCTCACCCTCCTCTTTCCAGCACTTTGCGATGTATTCGCGACCCATGCACACCCCAGCAAATCTCCATAACCCACACGCAGCGGAACGCGTGCCACCCCAAAGGGCCAACACGCGACCGCACACTAAAGCGCATCGCTACACACAACGGATGCGCACATCCAACTGTTCCTATCGGCGCGCACACACGCACACATAGAAGCTATCGTTCACCTCCAGCGATTCACCACACAACCGCATTTCATCACCGTATACAATCCCCAGAACATCACCACAAAATCCAGTAAATCGCCAAACCCCGCCACATCACACCGCCGCACACTCCCAAAACATTACCGCCCACCTCATCGCATCAACGTACACACACACAAAGTTCAGCACCACGCACCACTAGCGCATAACCGGCACAACCCCCCCCCCCAACCAATGACGGACATACCGCCAAAGCTTCACCGCAACCTCCCAGCGCCACCGCACACCTCAGCGGACTGCCCCCAAAACATCAACGCAGCCCCCAGCGCGTACTCCGCGCCCGCACAAAGCCAACGCATCACCAAAATTTGCACCGCCGCACACCCCAGCGCACGGCTGCGCACTCCCGTGTCACCGCACACCTCCAACGCGTTACCGCGACTCACGGGACGCCCCAGTTCACGACCGCGCACGTGAGCGCTCCGCCGGAGACCCAAGTTCACCGCCGCACACCTTCAAGAAGAGTTTTGCGCACACCCCGATTGGATGACCACGAAACCACCAGCCATGCCCCCGCACGCACAAAGCGCACCAAACGCGCGAACGCAACTCGTCGCTTATCAACACGTGCCCGTCACTTATCATCGCGAGAGTAGATGATTTTCGGGATGATAACATTCGCGATGCGGCTGAAGTCTGCTCGCCAGCGCGTTTCATTATTCATTTCCTGAGAGATTAATTCGACGCGGCCGCTGTTTGTACTGCCCCGAGCCCTACGCCGTGGTGATTCATGCGGCACCCAGACACCTCTTGCGCGTCCTCTTCCTCGGTGGTGCCGAGTGCCGTAACGGTGTCAAAACGGAGCGATACGATGTGTGGTGACCAGAGACGAGGATTACAAATTAATACTCAATGTTGTGTTCGCATAAACGCGCGCGCCAACCCATCGATTTCGTTAAAGATGTTAGTTGGAAAGCGCCCGAGAAAGAGCGATACACGGGAGCCTGAACTCGCCTGTCGTCAGTTGTATGGCTCGGATACATAACTGTTCGGGCGCGAATCCTGTGAACTCAAATAACACGTGCACGCGAAAACTATGCACCATATGCGCACGTTCTGCCCAATGTATGTGTTTGTTATCATTAATCACGCAGTGGCATTTCACGCGCTCGGATTTTCCGAAATAGTACAGAAAAAAATATGCTTCAGTGAAAGTTACTTTACGCTCTAGAGTTCAGACAAAGACAAAGCAACCCCGTATAGTCTGAACAGAGTCTGGGGGCAAGTGCTGATAGCGAGCACCTATGCAGAGGGGGTGATTGTCCAACACCACGCCCGGCCGCCTTTGTCTCCCGAGTGGCGACGTTAACACAACGCACCAGGTACTCACGTTTAGGCTGAGTCGACCTAGGGGAGGCACAGGACCGGTTCAAATAATCATCACCGGTGTTGGTGGCCGTGAGAGACGAGAACTCGGGTCGCTGGGTTCGTAGCGCAGCTCGCTAACCGCTAAACCACGGCTCCCCGCAGTGGTATACACATACGTACACATACAGTACACACGCGCGTGCTTGATAAGTTTAAGTTTGTTTCGATTTGTTACGCGGATGATCACGTTTAGCCAGTTGCCCGGCTATTTTACAAGGATGTTACGTGGTGCGTGAGCACAGCAGCAACAACACAACAAAAACGTCATCAACATTGCAGACAACGAGTACAGGTTCCGTAAGGAATATTGTACAACTAACAAAGCGAGGTTAATAGACGGCCGCAAACGAAACACACTTGGGCCAAGAGCAGTGCAAGTGTTACGTGAAAATTTCGGTGCACGTAAGCTCTGTATTTTAGTATAACAGTGGCACAAACACACGCAAAAACGAACTTGGTGGCTGAAAGTCTGATTAGTTCGCCGTTTGTATAACGTCTCACTGCTCTGCCGTTCGCGGTGTATAATGCATTTGAAGGGAAATGCACCGGTAGCGATGACCGCAGTTTGCCAATCCTCTGTCGTATTCAACAAAAACAACTTCGGGGTCGTTCGCTACTTGAGCGAGCGAGCGAGCGTTAACCCGAGTTCTCGCTTCCGTGCTAAGGCCGCGTTCATATCGTAAACAAAGCGGCCGGTCCGCTCCAGCGGGCATAGACGTTAAAGTGGGCATGAGCAGTGTCACTTCTAAGTGTCATTGCCGCCAGCCCTGATACCAAGTTTTAGAACGATTCGCGATCATGAACTTTGCTCCGGTCTCATGCAATCGTTAATTTGCAAAAATAAAATAATAAGCAACGTCAAAGTGATGTAACCAGGTTAAGTAAAGGACATTAAAGTAAAGTGATAGTTTTTTTAAAATCCCCCGATCTGTCGATAACCGCTTTTAAAATCAATTGTTTATTTTTATTGAACCAAATCAAACAATCGCTTGTAGCCCGATGTACAATGTCCAGGGGAGGAGTGATCGCTCAGCCGCAAGCACAGGGCCCTATATACCCGGGGGCTTGAGTTCGATTCCCGATAGCGACGAGCAAACATCAGGGCGACTAATATCTGAACCGGCCACGCACCCCCATTCCGACCTCCCACCACCACTAACCCGCATTAACCGGAGTGGTGAAGTATGGTCAAGCAACCGATACGCCATACACTGCGTAAAAGGGTGGCCTTCATCCAGCAGCGGAAGGACCAAAGGATGCACTTATTTCGTATTGTTATCAATCTTGTTATTATTAGTATTTTTATTGTAGTTGTGTCCGGAAAACTCACTATTGCAAAAACACAGGAACGCGTTCACGTACACACTTCGACACACATGCACACGTACGCGTAACCGCAAAGCTGCCGCAATAACGCAACGCATGTTGAAGTTATCTCCGACATTATGGAATGCTACGTTAAATAAGAGCAGTAATAAAGTCGCGATTTAAGTTTATTCTTTGCGCGCCTGTGTTGTCGGGCTTTAAGACGCGTGAAATAAGTTGTTGTAACACATTTATGGTCTTACATTGATTGGGCCTGAAGTGAGTTCAGGCGATCGGCTCCTGTAGATTTCACTTTTGTGATATAAGCAGCCTGTAGGATGATAATAGAAAAAGGCAATTTGAACATGTCTCACAGTGTCGACGGAGATACATTTATTAACTATTATATCACATCATATAGCTGTAAATAAGTAGCATTATTGTAAGGATGTGTTATTAAGCATACGCAGTGTATAATAACGCATTAAATATATTATGATAATACGGTGAATATGGAGCAATGTTTTAATATGAATCAATGGGAAAAATAATACATACTGATCGGTAGGTTTTTTTTGCAGAATCTTTCTTCCGACGCACTTGCCTATTTTTATAGTATTTTTATAGTATTTTTATAGTATTTTATAGTATTTTTTAATAGTATTTTTGATAGTATTTTAATAGTATTTTTTATGTTGCTGTGTTTCTTACATGAATAACCAGGGGGGACGTGTACAACTTTATTTAGCCCCGAGTTGTACGACTGGCATCATCACACGGCGCACATCAAAATCGGCTTTGATGCTGCTGCGGATACTTCTTCACATCGACTGGCAATCACCTCGTGCGTTTCTTTCTCACAAATAAAAGAGAAATTAAACAGCGCGACGTTCGCTACAACAGCGGCAGCTGGGCACGGGGCTCGAATGTCGCGCGTGACAGCTCACTTGCGACCCAAAAAACGTTCACCGACTCACTTTGTGTGAAATTGCATGAAACGACACGCGCCGCGGACACGTGGTCATACAACGGACAGAGAAGAGGTTAGGGTTGCGCGGGTTTGAAGTTCGTCTGGTGGCAATCCGGTAGCGTCTACGACTAACCACTACTGCGAACAATTACAACCGGTGATCGCGCGCGCGACGCGATGCGTGACTCGGCACTCGAAGTTGTTGGTGGGGGGTGCTTTTTGTTGTTGTTGTTGTTGTTGGTGGTGGTGGTTAGCATTCGCATCGGTCGTCGTTCCACACGACGAGCTATCGGACATTAGCACTTACAAATCGTTACTTTCGTTTGACATGAGCGTTCGCGCGGCGAGTAGCGTCCCTGTTGATAACGAGAAGGCGCCGGGCTAATGAACACAAAGCGCTTTATCTCGCGGCTGTTGTCGTAATTCACGATGTGCATGAAGAGGCGAAAGACGCGTGTTTGAGCACAAGGCGCTTTGAATGGGCGGCACGCGACGCCGCGCGTTTCACTTTCGGAGCCGACAAAACGGGGCTCGCCGACCGTCCAGCCCCGTTCCTTTAAACAAAAGAGAGAGGGGGGGGGGAGCAACTCTTAACAGGGCGCCTCTCGGTAGCGCCGCGTTCTATAGAGAGGGGTGAAGCATACAGCTCGAGGCTAAGGCACCTTTTACACCCTCCATTCTTTTTTTATTTTCTCCCCTTCTGCCTCTAACTGAACACCCTGCCCTGCCCCCCCCCTCACACCACCCCCCCAACATCACCCCCCCCACCCCCCCCAACATCACCCCCCACCCCCGCATCACCGCGCACCCCCCCCTCCTTTTCCCGCCCGCCCACCTCCCCTTCTGTAGCACCCCCGCGCGCGGGGTCTCCGTGTCCATCAGCCGCCAGGCCCCTCCCGCCCAGCGCGGGGATTCGCCGCTCCTGCAGGGCGAGAAGCTGGAGCCTGGGAGAGGAGCGGATGGGGGGGGGGGGGAGAAGGGGGGGAGGGGCTATCGGGGCAAGGCGCTCCGGGCCCGCGTCCCTTTTCCTTAAGGCAGCCGCGGCCCCGGGGCCTCACTCAGTCCTGAGTTTTAGCGCCCGGGAGCAGCTCCGGCTGGAACGTGCTCCCGCTCTAACTCGGCGTCAAGCAAAGAGAACGAGTCTTCTTTTTTTTCTCCCCCTATTTCTTTTTTTATTATTATTAACCCCCCCCCCCTCACTGCAATTTTATAGTACCCCCCCCTTTTTCCCCTCCCCTCCTCCTCCTCCTCCCCTTTCCCGCGGCCCGAACCCCGCGGAAGGAACTGCGCGCCCGCACAGAATCGCTCAGCGGGGACCAATGACGCTGCAGCCGGCAGAGCGAAGCCAAAGCAGCCCTTAAGAAGAACTCCAATTCCCCGACCGCTCGCCCGCTGGATTACTATATTATTCCGAGTGACTGAAGCAGGCGGCGCGGAATTGGATCACAACATTCCTGATTATAATATTATATAGCCGCCGGTGCCTGCGACGCTTCGGAGACGTGGTATTAATAATTTTTAATAATAATAATTTACAGCGAGAGAAACAAGGTGACCCGTCTCGAGGGGAAGGGAAACGCTTACTGGCGCAAGTCAACGGGAGTCCCCTCCTTGCGCGGTGTTCCAGCCGGCGAGACAGCCAGCCAGCCCGCCCGTCCGTCCGCCCGCCTGCCCTGCCAGCCAGCGTGCGTCCGGGGTGCTTGTAAGAAGGGAGCATTGCCCCAGCTGAAGCTTTTTTACTCCATCATCGCGCGTCTCTCCGGGTCCCCCTTCCACCGCTCCCGCCGTCCTTTGCCATACCACTCGCCTCTCTCTCTCTCTCTAACCAGCCAGCCAGATCCCACAGCTTTTTGTTGCCCAAAGCGCAGCCAGCTAGCGGGAGTGAGCCAGCAAGAACAGCCCAGCCAGCTCAGCTACTCCATGTTCGGCATCCAAGAGAGTCTACCGAGGGGCGGCTCGGGGCTCAAAGAGGAGCCGCTGGGAGGCGGCATGCCCACCGTGCGCTCCTGGATGCATTCCGGCGTGGTGGATGCCAGCACCGCGGCGCAGAGGTGAGACGTTCTCCAATCCGCCCACCGACGCACGGCACTCGGCATCTCCCACAAGCGGGGGTTTTTTTAAATTTTATTTTTCATCATCTCCCACAAGCAGGGTTTAAAAAAAATATTTTTCATCATCTTAACGTTTTTTTTTAAAATAGACATCAGCACGTGCTTGAGTTGTCTTGCGCCGCTACATGTGAGTGATGTCGAATCCAACAGTAGCCCACTCATCCCCATTTACGCTTGAAAGGGTTTTGGAGGATTTTATTTACGCCTGTCCCTTTTTGGAGTAAGTGCGCCTTCTGCGTTCGAACAGCTCCTTCGACTGCGGGTCATTTTTAAATCCCACGCTCGTACTTTTATTACATTTCTTCCGATATTCCTGCGTGATTTCTCTCTCTTTCTCTCGTAGGACTGCCAATATATGGGACACGCTAAATGTCCACTGTTAATAATTTAGCGATGCATGCGAGAGGTATTACGCGTACGTGCAGGTATCGTGAACCCCGCGTGGCACCTATATTTAAATGAATGACTTTCTTCTCAAACCAGGGCACTCCATGGCTGTCGCAAGGGATATGTTAGTTTGAAAATTATTATTTGAATGCAGGACACATTTCCTTTATCGCTGCTGCAGTAAATGTTAAAACACTTTCTCTCTTCTACATTTGGTACTGTTTTGGTTAAAATTTCACGAACAAATAAAAAACGTATCGCTCACGGCGTTAAATCAACAATACAGTTTCATCACGCTGATGAATTTCTACGAATTCCTATTTGAAGTCATATTCTCGAGGAAACAACGTCGACACTGCCCGCAGACAAGGCAAACTGTGCCTTCATGTTAACCTCAAAGGCGAACAAAACAATAAATGCAAACGTCGACACAAACAGATACTTCATAAAAAAATAAAACGCATGTACCCCGCCGCCGTCCTTGTATCGGCATAGTGCAGGGTTGTTTGTGTATTAATAATGAATGCGTCAAAGCAAAGAAAAAGCAAAATGTACTGAATGTTTAAAAATAAACTGACTGCGAGGCTTTTAATGTCTTACAACTTCGTAATATCTAGGTGACATCGGTTTTTTTTCAAATAAGATGGTTTGTTGTGTCAATTGCAACGCAATGTTTACCGAGCAGCACAACGAGGCAAATGTCATTGCGCCATCGACACATTTAAAGTTTCCACCTTTACTAATTTGGCATATCCTCCCCCCCCCTCTCCTAAATCATGGTGCGATTTTTTTTCCGGCTAAATGGAGATTAAACATTAGCAGTCACTCACTCGTACCATGTGCGATGTAATAGTGAGCGTTTACACTGCTACTCAAAGTAGGACCGCGCACTCCACAACATCGCTACAACTGCCGCGACCTGTGTTCGAACTCGACTGTTGCTTCTCAAAAGTGCTCACCGCCCCCCTCGTTAGTCGCAGCATTCATTTCTGTATTTTAAATATTGAGCGAAATTTCTCAAACTTTCGAGGTTTAAGCACTCTGGGTAATTGCACAGCCGTAGTAGGTACACGCCACGCTTTTCACGCGTCGCAGCGCGCTCGATCTTGTGTTGTTGTCTATCGTAAATTCACTTTTGAAGAATAGTGCCGTATTTCTGTATTCATTTGCGTGCGGTATTTTAATCAATGCGTAACGAGTAATAGGTGTGCATTTGAGCTCTTGGTTGTTAGAAAAACACGGCACTCTCATGGCCTTTTCATATTGTGAATCGCTACCTGCAAGCACGTGCTCACCGTAACACGATCGCATGCCCGAAACGCTCTCGTCTTGTAGCTGTAATTGTAGCGAAGCGAAAATAATTATGAGCGGTGCAGAGAAGCGTACGATGAAAATGTGCATAACAATGTCAATACATTTATTTTCTACGCAGAGTTAAAACATATCCTGTTGAAACAACGTGGGGATTTATTGATGGTGTCTCTCGTTGCAGCGGCTGTGGCACACGCGCTGCCTGTCCGCGCACGACATGATTTAAGCGTGCATGATAATGCCAATGTTAATAATGAGTCATTTGTTTACGTAGTAACGTTTCAGTTGCTGTCACTGCGGTCGCTGCATTCGGAATTAACACAGCAGCCGCGCTGACTGCGCGTGGCTTCTGCTGCCTGTTGTTACCTTCGTCCAGACGCGTGTCACCCCGTGTCCCAAGCCTCGTCCCATCCACAATCTCCGTGTCTTCATCGTGTCCATTGAAGCCGTCGTGCGGCCACCCCTCCGTTTGCTGGATATCTCCCCGTGTAGTCCGCGTGTCCTCCCCCCACCACCTTCCGGCGACGCAACGCCACCGCGTGCCCCTGCGTCTCCTCGTGTTGTCTCAGTCCCACCGAGCGGATCTCGTCCGTCCGTCCGTCCCAGCGTGTCTCCCTGTCTCCCCGCGGCAAGTGCCGGCCCCCGTATAGCCGCTGCGTCCCCACGTCCTTCTGCTTGCAGCCTCAGGGCCGTAGAAATTGGAAAGGCACGCGGCATCAGTCGAGTTGTCAACACGGCGCTCTGTTGTTGTTGTTGCAGTGGAACAAAAATAGGAAAGATTAACACCGGACGTAAATATTTTCAAGAAGGACAAAAACAATCCCGCCGCCTCGTTTATCGCGCCGATATATTTGAATAAATAATGGATGATTTATCTGAATGCGCACGTATGCATTGCATGTAGGATACACGCACGTAAGTATATACAAATTTGACAGCCATTTGTCAAACCTCCCCCCACACCGTGTCAATTACGGAGGATTTGTTTGACCATACTTCACCACGGTGGTCAGTGCGGGTTGGTGAATGATATACGTACACAAACGACGTGTAGTTACGCATGATAAATACCAGCGCGTGTGTGTTCATACCTATACGTGCAAGGTATGAATACACGCCGCGCAAGTAAAATAGTCAAGAATATTATTGCACCAGGACAATTGTAATTAAAGTAATGTTTTAAAACAACGCTCATTTAATCTCATATTACGACCTTCCATGCACAATTAAAGAGTCATAAACACCACTGCACGAACATAACCCTGATGGATAAATGATGCTCGTTCCGACTTGAACTTATACTCTCAACAGATGCTGGGAGGTCACGTGCAGCAGGGCGCGTGCGATTTGACGCTCACCTCATTGCATTCAGCCTCAGCACGAAGCCATCCTTTATTAAATACTCTGCTGACATTACCAAAATACCGATACAAAAAAAATCGCACACAAAACCGAGCTAAATAAATGAGTAGCTCGACTTTTTTGTTCGAGCGTGCACGTGCGTTTGTTGTGCCACTGGGAAAGGAGAAAGAGGGCTATGTTCTGGTGGTGCCACTGAGCCAAGAGGAGAACGCGGGTAGAAAAAAAAGTATTTTTTGCGGGTTGCCGCCGCTGCTGCTGCTTCTGGTGATGCATTTACCCCGAGGCTTCTAATTAAGTTTGATAAGTCGGTGGCGCCTCGCGAGAAGTGCATCTATCAAGCTCACACACTGCTCTTCCCTCCTCCACATTCTCCCCTGTCTCCTATCACCACCACCACCACCCGCCGTGGTGGGCGCCTCGTGGCCCGGCGTTTCATCGCGCAGTGGCATTGCGCTAGCGCGGGCCCACTTCGAGAAGCAGCCGCCCTCCAATCTGCGCAAGTCCAACTTCTTCCACTTCGTCTTGGCGCTCTACGACCGCCAGGGCCAGCCCGTGGAGATAGAGCGCACGGCTTTCGTGGACTTCGTGGAGAAAGATCGGGTGAGGTCGTCGTGACATTACAGCCACCCGACCCCAATTCTCCCCCCCCCCTCCCCCCGTTCAGTCCCTCTCACGTGCGAGTCCACGGTAGTGAAACACTCTTCGTTCTTCTCTGATGCTGCTGCTCTCGCGTTTTCCTGTTGCGCCCGAGTTAAAGCGCTTGAAATATGGGCCCCGCTAATCACTAACCGTGCTTTTGGATTCATTGACTTATATATGTATACATAGACATTTACGGAAGCTTAATTCTCTCAGAGTATTTGTGTGGGTAGCTGGTAGACTGGAGTATGCACGTGACAAGTAGCATAGAGGCCTATTATGAATGTGGTAACGGAAATATCTGGCGCAACTGCACGTGTGTGTATACTGTATATTGAGAGATATACTCAGGGTTGAATTAATTTCACACCGCATATAATCCGGGTCGCCGATAGAATGCAGTAAGCACGTGACTATTATCAAGAGCGGTGGACTATACTCGATGTGGTGTGCCGGGAGTGCGGAAATATTTCTCCGGATCGCCGAAAGCGGACAGATCGCGGCTGAAACTAAGCTCGCCCGATATATATAGAGTCTTCCCAAATAATTTCACCGTGTCGTCCGCGGTGAATGCAGTGGGGTTTCGTGAAAATCGCAACGCTCAAGACGAGTAAAAACAACACAAATGCGAATGTCTTGACTGTTTTTTTGCTTATAAATAGGATATTACAGGTTTATTTTACTTGATGTTTTTACTGCCTGCACTCAATCTATAAACTCTGTAGTAGGTACACTGGCTGAGAAAATAATATCCCCTCGGATAAGACCACATATATACGTGCACGCTATATGTATATACTGTATATATATAATTCCGTAGAGCCAGTATTTGGAAATGACAAAGTACATTTGTATACACCTACGCGTAACGTTTGAACTGATTCATTCACAAGGCTTCACGCTATTGTGATATTCGACATGTGGATTATTTGTAATACGTGTATGCTTATAACTAAGAACATGCGTATGTGTTCTAAGATTTTCTGAAAAAGTAATAGTAATTGTCTAATGTTTAGTAACAAATCCATTTGATGAACTTGTGTAAATATTTAATCAGGATACGCGCTGCTATGAAAAAAAGTATTAATAGTCGTTTCTACTTTCGTTATAAGAAGCATTTGTACGCAACTTTAAACAACCGTCACGAATACATTAATTATCCGCGCTGTTTTAGAACATCGAGTTTTTCAAGCTGTGTACACTTTTGTTTACGAATGATTTTTTCCACTTTCTTATCTTCTATCTACTGCCAAAGGAACCCAACAGTGAAAAGACAAACAATGGAATTCATTACCGGCTACAGCTGTTGTACAGTAATGGTAAGGATGGCACGGATCTTTTTAAAGCATGCAATGTTATGATTGACACGAGCTCACTCAATTCCATTTGTATCATATTACATTTGTTTATAATATTCCTAAATGTGGCCCTGTCGGTGTCATTCCGAAATGCGAGTCCATTCAACTAGAATAATAATGATGATGATAATAATTTAAACTTATAACGCGCCGTCGCCTCAGAGGCGCGAGGAGGAACCGCAGACAAAGTGGAGAGGGGGGGGGGGGACAGCCACGCAATGAGCCGGCGCCAATAATTGCCAAAGATCTGCGGTCCTCTTTATATTATGGCGTTATCGGCCAATTCATGAGTGTTTACATGTGGGTGGAAACCGGAGCACCACGCATGCGAGGGACACACACTCTATCCCACAGAGAGGAGAAGGAAACGGGACATTATCAAGACTAAAATAAAGCGACTTTTGTTACTTGCTTGTACAGGTGTGCGGACGGAGCAAGATCTGTACGTCCGACTCATCGACTCCATGAACAAACAGGTGAGCGTGGCGAACATGTGCGCACCTCGGCGGCCCTCCTACCCTCGCTCGCGTCGCTCCGCTCTTTCTATGCAGATAAATCCTCTTTGTAAACTGCGCAAAAGCGTGACACGCTATTTCACGGTGGCTTTTGCTCCAGGGCGCTGTCGTCGCAACGTGTTCGCGGCGGGGCCCAGCCACGACTTGTGTTGCCGTCGATTATTCAATCACAGGGCCGCGCGTGATTAAACCTTTTGTTCGATTTAAACGTGGCTGTAATCGTGAGTGGTGCGGAGCGGTCGCGCGATAGCGCTATGAACCTGGCGCCCGAGTTCGATTCCCGCTCACGGCCACCAACACCAAGTGACAATTATATGGAACCGTCCTGCGCCTCCCCAAGGTTGATTCAGCATTAAATGAGTACCTGATGTGATGCGTAAACATCGCCACTGGGGAGGCAAAGGCGGTCGGGCGCGGTTCTGACCACACCGCGGCCTCGTGCTCCTTGTCGTCATTCATAGGTGCTGCTCGCTAACAGAACTTGCCCCAATAGTTCGTTAAAGCTCTAGGGAGATCTTTGTTTTCTTCGTCCTCTTTCGGTGGACGCTTTCGCGTGTACGTATTTGTTTCACGTGTTGCGTTATAATGGGAGCGGTGGCGCAGTGGTTAGCGCAACTGCGTGATTAACACGGCAACCTGAGTTCGATTCCCACTTACGATTTGCAATAACGGTGGCGACTATTTGAACCTGTCCTGCGCCTTTCCTAGGCCGATTCAGCCTTAAATGAGTACTTGGTGCTGTGTGTGAGCATTAGTACTGGCGAGACAAAGGCGGCTGGGCATAGTGTAGGCCACATCAACAAACTCGAGTGCCGTTCCGGTCTTTATAGGCACTTGCCCCAACAGTCTATTTACCTGTACGGTGTATATCGCTATGAACCCGGCTACCCGAGATCGATTCGCGCTCACGGCCAACGCCAGTTACAATTATCTGAACCAGTTATGGGCCTCTCCTAGGTCGACTCAGCCTAAAATTAGTACTGTATCTGGTATGGTGCGTAAACACCGCCACTGGGGAGACGAACACGGCCGAAGTTGGTGGTGGTGGCCACCCACCTCCTCGTGTTCCGTGCCGGCCTTAATAGGTCCTCACTAACAGCACTTGCCACAAAAGTTTGTTAAGGCTATACGGGGTTCTTTTCTCTTGTGCCTAGGTATCCACGTTTGTTTATGTGCATGTGTGAACTCGGCTACACGAGTTTAATACCCAGCCACGGCTAACATCTTGAATGTTAAGTTGGTATCACAATCTGTTATGGGTCTCACCTAGGTCGACTCTGCTTTATATGCGTACCTGGTGCGGTGTGTACAGCTCCAGCACTGGGGAGACAAAAGCGACTGGGCGTGGTGGTGGCCACCGACCCCCTCGTGTGCCCTGCGGGCTTTCACCGGTCCTCACTAACAGCACTTGCCCCAACAGTCTGTTTAAGACTTGAACGGGGGATCTTTGTCTTTCTATTTAATATCATTCCATATAACATTAATACGCATATATAGCACGTGGATGTGAGCTGATTTCATTGCTCCATCTCCTGCAGTGGGCATCTTCCTCCCTGACTAATTCCGTTCCTTGGCTACCCACTCCATTAAAATTATTCTTACATCGCCAAATCGTAATAGATGGCGGCGGCTCGGGGCAGTCCTTCATCCAGCAGTGGATTAACTACTATGTATGTTGCATTTTTTTCGCACCGTACGTAGCCAACCGTGATGATTGGAGGTGCAACTATGGATGTTGTTGTTGCTGCTGCCAATAATGATGATGGTGATCATTACGTACATAGTGTTCTCGGTTGAAAGGATAAATGCGTTCGTCCCACTCGTAGTCGAAAGGAAGCACACTGAACCACCTCGGCGTCGCCGGTCATGGAATCAACGTTCAACTTGTCGCCTGGGCCTTGCACGTCCGATACAAATATCCGAGCGATGTGTGTGTGCGTGTGTAAACAATCAACAAGGATGTGAAATCAATGTGAAAACATTGACCCGCGAGCACAGTCCGCTGGGGTTCAATGCTCCCCGCTTCACGTCGAGTTGACTCTGTCGACACGGGCGGTCGTGCGATCGCCAGGCGAGGCATCCATTGCTTCCGTTTACGTGGCAAAATCGCTCGACAAACGACGCAAACGGGGAACTATCGCTCTCTCGCTTGAGTGGACGTCTGCGTCTTGGTAGTTCGTGGTCGTGGTGGTAATGCTAGTGCTGGTGGTGCTGCTTCCTGCTGGGGTTGGTGCTGGCGGTCGTGGTTTTAGCGGCAGTGATGGTGGCGGTGGCTGTTATGGTGGTGATTGTGGGGCTGATGGTGTTTGCGATAGTGAATGTGGCGCTTGTTCTGGTCAGTGGTTGTGGTGATGGTGATGATAATGTAAATTATGGTATTCATCATTTGGTAGCGAGTGTGATATCGGTAGTGGTGATGGTGATGACGATGGTGTTTGCGGGTGTGGCGGTGGTTGTGGTCGTGCTACTCAATGGTGTTTGTTGAGATGGTCGTGGTAGACGATGGTGGTTGGGGTACGGACATGGTGACGGTGATAGCGGCGGTGTTTCATGTACGGTGACTGGACACCCCTCCCCCCCCCATCCTTCTCCACTCCTCGTGCCGCGGATAGAGCCTAACGCGCACTCATTATCGAGCAAAACTGTCGGACACGGACACGCGCACGAAGCGGAGCGCGCTCGCTCAGAGTGAGAGAGATACAGCGAACCACACGGGCTCGCAGCCTGTGCTAAGATCTCTTCTGCAGGATGAGGTTACGCGTTCCGTCCGCGCGAGCCAAGCCTGTGTTGCATCCCTGGCGACGTGTGTTCTGTTTGAGATGTCCACCATTAGTCCAGCGATTAACGAAACGCGCCGCTGTTAAACCAAACAACAACAACAACAACAACAAACCCCCAACAACAATAAAGAAAATAAGCATGGCTTAAAAAAAGAAAGATGCGCATATTCGGAAGGCGTCAACAGAGAAGCGATTTGGCATGACAATTAATTAATATTTTCGTTCTTTAAAAACAGTTGTTTAGAGGTAGGGAGCGGCGAGGGCGTGTGAACGGGCGAGGGATGGATGGCATTTGCATTTACAATGCGTTTCTCTCCTCTCTCTCTCTCTCTCGCGCTCGCTCGCTCGCTCGTGGTGCAGGAGTGCGTGGTGCACCAGTGTGGAACACCATTAATTAACGCAGAAATATTTTAATAAGTGGAATTACCATGTGAGGTCGTGATGCAGAACACCCTTATTCACATTAACCGATATGGGGTGGTCGGTCGCAGTTGGAGGGAGGAGGTTTGGGTAAAGGAGTGGAGGGGAGGGATCAGTGGGGGGTGGGAGGGAGGGTAGTGAGCGGGGGATGGGAGGGAGGGGGCTACAAAAAATGGGGGCACGTTTGGTATTTCTGCAGGCGTAATTTTAAAGAGGCAAATCTTGACTTAAAGCTTTCGTGACTGCAGGAATTCATATTCTTAGGGTCTTTCGGTAAAGTCACGTGGATGGTTAAAAGAAAATAACAAAAAAAACTACGACGTTTCGATCACAATGCAACCGATCGTCACGAGGAGGACGTTCAGATCACAGCACAAGCGATCGTCATCAGGAGGAGAGAGTCCTCTTGAACCATCAACGTGACTTTACCGAAAGACCCAAAGAATATTTAAAGAGGCAGTTAATACGCACGGTGTGCGTGCGCGCTTTTCCCGCGGCCACGACATATTGCAATATTTAGGCATTCATTTAAGGCGTTTAACTGCCAGATATGTCGTCTTTCTGCACCACTGTTGCGCTTTAACAAACCACAAGCGTCAGTCTGCATAGTTTTGTCCTGCCCCCCACCCAAAAGCCATGCTCGCCGGGCCTAGCGGTTTTTGCTGATTTTAATTTACCACCGCGCTATCCAAAGCAAACACACGCGGCCACTGCGCGCTTTTGGCTTCAATTGGCCGCCAATGGTAGCTGATGGTAAACGAAGTACATTAAAGTGTTCGCTTGTGTCATGCTAAAACTGTCGGGTAATATTTGGTGGCGGTGTTCCTCTTGTCTGTCCAGGCCATTGTCTATGAAGGGCAAGACAAGAACCCCGAAATGTGCAGGGTACTGCTCACGCACGAGATCATGTGCAGGTACGTGGTGGTGGTGGTGGTGGTGATCACTCGCTCACTCTCTCACTCGCGCCGCGATGACAACACGCAGGGTTCCGGGCAGCCGGGGGCATCGCCAGCCACTTCAAAGCGAGCGCTTCGATTGGCACGAGGCAAATCCCTCGGAGTATTTAGTTACATGAGAATACAATAACAATACTGCAGCAGCGAGGCTCCATTAACTCACGACCACTACCACATTCTCCGCCTATTGCGACGATGCCTCGTATATTCTTCGCTGCTGCAGAGAGCACGCACACGTGCTTTGATTTTCCTCATTGCACCTTTGCACACGTGCCATTTCATACGGGCACGTAAACTGTTATCTTGCTATGTATTGTTTTTTTATGGGATGTGATGTAACACGTTAGCTTCTATAGCGGATAATCAGAAAGAAGATTTGCAACACGTGCCCACATTTGAGTGGGAGCTGGATTTTTTTTTTAAAGCAATGAAAAAGCCCCGTTATGGTTGAACAATTGGTTACAAATCACGAGCACAATTACAGTTTTATCATCATCATTATTCCACCACCCACGCGATGCTTTGCTGATAGCTGCGAGCCTCAACGCAAAGTTGTGAGCACGTGTGGCTCCTGCCCACGATGGCTGCTTAAGAGCGGCCCCTTTTTTAACACATTACCCGGGAATGAGGTTTCTCGGAGACCTCGTTTTTGTATAAATAAATACAGCAGAGAGTTACGAGAAGGAGGAGGGGTGGAAGTGGTGGGGGTGGGGGCAGGGGGTGAAGTTGGGGCGGGTCAGGAGGCCTTTTGACACCGGGGTTTGGAAGTGGCGTCCGAGGAGGCCTGAGACGCGTGATACGTGGCCGCTTAAAACGCCCGTTTGTTGGCTCCGGAAATACCAGAGCGGCCGCTTGGAGCCGCCTCGCCGCGAGAGACAGCCCCACACAGCAGCTCCCTCCTTTCTGCCCATGCGGCCCAACTTTCCCTCCCCCCCCCACCTCTCTCTCTCTCTCTATGATTCTCTAAGTCCCTGACTCCGTCGTTTTCTCACTGGTCCACGCACGGCTTGCGCATTACACGTCTGTTTCAGTCGTGTCTTACCCGACTCACGACGCACATTCGGACACTTCAAAGGCGTTTCACCAAGCGTAATGCCGACCACACAATTCCAAAACACAAGTGGCACGCACGGGTGTGTTTGGAGAATGTCCCAAATAGGAGCGAGTCGATGTGAGCTAAGCTGAGTACTAAAATCTGTAATTCGGCTGTGATTTGATGCTCCCCTCGCTTCGTATCATGTCTTATCACGATTCGGGTGCGCAAATCGATTCAGTAATCGATGATTTTTTTAAAAATATATATATCTTGTGGTCACAAGTGACGTCATGGGTCATTACCCCTTGCACACATATCTATCCGAATTTGTATACAATAGATGTCAACTCGCATCAATCGATGCGTGCATGCGTCGTGAGCGCAATGATGGAATGTAATCGATCCATCGGTGCATTCTTTCGCCTAAATTACTTACACGATGCACACGAGCACAAGGCACACTGCCGTACATACACGCGACGCTTCTTCACGTACGCACACAGAGCATAATGACCCTGCTACATCCACCGTGTTTGCACCTGGGTGAGTTAGTGCACACGCAACGGCGTGAGCGCTCACACCTCGCTGTTGCCGTCACGCGTTATAAGATTGCGCCTGCGCGCGAGACTTCAGAAAGTTTCCAGCGAAACTTATGAGCAAAAATAAATAAATTATTCAACTCGATGCGCTTTAATTATGGCAAATGTTTCCAGATCTCGTGCCAGGTGAATTTTCGCTCGCGTGGTTATTTCAGGAGGCAATGTAAAAAATTTTTTTTAGTTCATTTGGAAACGCGGCCAATTCGCACAAATTGTGTACGTTGACTTTTCCAAGTGGCGCTTTGGGTGGAGGACTGTTTAGACACGTGGGTGGGTGGAATACAAATGTGCTATAATCAGATTTAGAGCATGGCCGAAGAATATTTATAGAAGTATATTGCAGCACCAATAGCAACAGAAATTGTGGCATTTCCGTTTTGATCGCCACCGGTGAGTGCCCCCTATCCCCAGCGTGGGTGAGAACAAACAAGGTGCACGCATACATGAGCACAGCTCTTCTGCTGAGACACGATCACGAGCGGGTGAACTTCAAGAAGCGACACCGTCATCCCAGCCACTCGCACACGCGCGGAAGGTGCCAATGAGCGCCAGCTTCAGAGCTGCAGGGCAAGTCACCCACGTCGGAGTTTGTATGTATGTATGTTGAACTTCTTTCGCACCGTACTGAGCCAACCATCCTAATCGGGGGTGCGAGGGGAAGGACAACAAACTAAACATAAAGAGCTAGTGTGAGTGATAGGGCATCCACTAGGTCGACTGAGCCGCAAAATGTATACTTGCTGCGGTGTGCAGTGAACATCGCAACTGGGGGAGATGAATGCGGCCGGGCGTGCGTGGTGTCCATCTGCGAGCGTTAATTAATTTAACACGACCGAAGAAAAGGGAGGGGAGAGGAGGGAGCATTTTTTTTATCCTTAGACAGTGAAAGACGTAGAGGCTAGTGTAAAAAGGTATGCATCTCGTAGTTTCTGATTAACTCGGTCTCTCGCTGATTGAAGCTCGTGCTCATTACACACCTAGCGTTTCGTTTCAGCGCTTCATTTTCTATTTGAGCCGGTCATTAGTCATTAAAAAATATATATTTCTTAAAAAGTGAGATAGCATTAGCGATTACATTTCGCGATCCGTTGACGCGCCGAAATGCGCATTAACAAACCAACATATTCTGTTTGATAGTTGTTGATGATGGCGCAACGTGGCAGTCTTATCGCGCGTTTGTGTAAGCTTTGTTGATTTTTAAATGCGAGCTTTCAGAGACGTCGAGGGAACGTGTCGCTATGATCAAAAGACAAAGTAGACGCGCACATTACGAATTACAATCTCACAACTCATTAGGTTGACGATCGTGTCAGCCCCCCCCCCCCTCCGCAACAACCAAGAAGCGCGTTCTCCTTAAGATTTTCTGTCATTGGGGCACGCGGTTATAGGTTCTATTGGGGACATCTCTTTAATATCGGTAAAATTAGACACTCCTTCTCGCGTCCGTGGATATGTTAACCACTAAGGGCACAACAAAGGACGGGGGTTTTCATTTTAGTTGCGACATTCACGCGCAATCTGCTCCAAGTGATATTCAAATGTTTTTTTATATATTTTTGGAGGGGGTTGGTGATATTAAACAAAACAGAGTACACCGCTCACACCTCTCTCTCTCAATCGCATGTAAATACACGCGCACGCGCGTGCGTCCTTCGTACAATACGAGTCGTTGGGCACGGGCCTGGTTAAAACTTAATTCGCACCGAAGACAACGCGCGCAATAACAGCCGTGGCGCGGAGATTATGTAAAAGCAATTCGCGCAGCAATTGCGCGTCGCCGCATAAACGGAGTGTTGAAAGAAATGAGTTGGATAGTACTAATGCGCCCGCCTCTCCAGTTCAGCGCTGGTATAATGGGCTGAATTGAATGATAATGAGGGTGATAGGCGTGAAATTGGATGATGTAGCACCGGTAACGCGAGTTGTAATTTATCTTATCAGATAGGAGCGCTAATGCAGTGCGAGCCACTGCGGCCCGGGGTCTCGGGGTTTTTCGCGACGGCTCCTGTAAACCCGGAGTCGTAAAAATGGGCATAAAGCGGTTATCTTAATTGCCGCGAAACTTTTTCCTTTTATTGCATAACGGGCCCACGCCGACGGGTATATAGGCTTGCAGGAGATATCTGCGGCGACTGCAATGAATACATAGGCCACTTGAGCGTAACTCGCCTCGCTTTACGTGTGGGGCGGTGGGGGTGGGGGGGCAGGAAGACCAACCACGATTTTAAAACAAACAAACATTTAAACAAAAGCCATTTGCATGGAAGCACACGTAGACGCAGCAAAAATGTAACATGTGCTTATTATTTACGCAACGTGCACACACCGTTGAGAACAGTTTGTTCCAAATGAAGAGTCACACGCCACATAGATCCATCAGGGCATCGTGGCCATGCACATGCCGTGGGGTGCAGAGTTTCGCGTCACACGTGCGACTCGTTACACGTCTCAGGCAGCAATGGGGGTTTGCTCCTCAATTGTTTAATTGTTGCTCGACGCCTCGACCGTGCGGAAGCGTGTCCAATAATCGTCGCAACAAACACAGAAAAGGCAACACCCCCCCCCAGCCAAAATACCACGCACGTTTGCGTCGAAGGCCCCGTGGTAATGGAGCGACTGGCGACGGCGGGCATGCCGATCCAGTCGCGGCATCTTCCAAACGCCGCCCTTCGTTTGTGCACGCGCGTCCATTCCACCTAATTCGAGTGGAGACTCATCAAATATTTAGACGGCGCATTTCGCTGCGGGGAATTTCTAAACCTTAAAATGACGCTCGATGTTTACTATCGCGTGGAGTTAAACCACGAGGCGTCTGTGGACGTGCGCAGGGCCGCACCGATGGACGCTGGCCACGTCACGTGTGCACGCGTGCGCGCGCGTGTGTATGCGCCCCTTAAATTTGGGGTTGGGGAGCGGTGGCGCAGTGGTTTGCGCGCTGCGCTAAGAATCCGGCGAGACGAGTTCGATTCTCGCTCACGGCCAACAGCAGTGAACGATTATCTGGACCGGTTCTGGGCCTTCTCTTAGTCGACTCGGTTTCAAATGAGTAACCTGGTGCGGTTTTGTCTTTGCGTTGTTTCCCCCGGTGTGATGCTGGCCACCTTGTGTTGAGGCTACAGCGAGGACTCTTGCCGCAAGAGTCTGTTAATGCTATAGCGAGGATCTTTGTCATTGTATTTTAGTACAGAAGTGAAAAAAAAGATTGAAACAATCTATTGGTGATACGGTATTCAATTATATTTCTTTAAAAAAAATCGTTTAGCTAGTTTTTTTTTTATAATCATTGGTCTCTGGCAAGGTACAGTAGTACATTACTCTGAATAATTTCCGCATCATCCGGAAGGTTAGGCACACGCTCTTGGACGTGCGCAGCAACAAAAACACACATTTCTATCAGGGGTGACATTGCTGAGTAGATCCAGCAGGTCTGACTCAGCACATTGTTATCACGGCAACAGAGGAAAACAAAGAAATCCACCGCTTCTTTGTTGCTACTTTATTACTTTAAAATGATACGTTTCATTTTAATCGCTTATACACATTTGCGACTTCCAGTAAGACCTGGCTGCACGGGAAGTGAATGACATAGTTTAGAGGCGCGTGGAGAGAAAGGGGGCTCTCGGTGTGACGAATTGCAGCGCATGCACCGAATGGCAACGCGTGCGGATGGAGCTGTCGGCGCAGGGGCAGCAGGAGCGAGCAGCTCAAAGCTCCGAACGGGGGGGGGGGGGGGCCTCTGTGCCTTTTTGTAAAATTGCGCGCACCAGAGTTCAGTCGCGCGGCCGAGGAAAATCGACCCAGCCGGCGTCCGCGCTCTGCCTCATGAAGCAGAACGCATGAACACGCGAACACAGCGCCGTACGGCTCACACAGGGCAGCCACGGCGGACACGGTCAAAATCCTGTTCTCAGCTATTGCCTCTTTTTTTCCTCTCTCTCTCCCGCTCTTCTTCCGCGACTGCACGCGGGTTTATGGGGCGCTTAAAGCCACGCGTTATTCTCTGTCTCGTAGAGGTGCACTGGGGCACACCGGAATGCCCCAGTCACTGGCCATGCACCCGCGGGGCGCGTTTCGCGATATCAATCGGCAGTGGCGTGGCAAACTACCGGGGCAAGGTACAAAAAAAGAGAAACATTGCTCTCTTATTTTTGTTTTGTTTAAGCGCGAACGGTAAAGAAAATAAATAACAGCAACAACACGAGAAATAAAAAGGTGAGTTGCAGGGTGGAGTTTTGCGAGGAAAGCGTGAATAAGTGCGTTACGCCGGTGGAGGTGGGGGGGGCTGCAATGCCGACTCGCGTACAACGCTCTGACGGTACGCGTGCCCTGGTGTGTATCTGTGCGCTCGTGGCCATTTGACACGGACGTCCCGGTTTCTTTTTTGTCGAGCGCCGAGTGAGAAAAAATGAAAAAAAAAATAACCTACATGCTGCACGTCGTCGTCCTCGCTTCGATGTCTCACGCGGTGTCCCCTTTCTCGTTTCGATGTCTCACGCGGTGTCCCCCTTCTCTTGCACCACCAGCCGCTGCTGCGACAAGAAGAGCTGCGGAAACCGAAACGAGACGCCGTCAGATCCGGTGATAATAGACAGGTAAGCGGGTCGCCACCACCTGCTCCGTCAACACTAACCACAAATCTCTGCCTTTGCCCGCCTCTCCCCCCAACCTCCCCCCCCCCCCCAAGGGAGTCACGTTGTGTCGGGAGTTTAGGGGTAGTGATGGGGGGCGTCCCTGGCCCCCGTGAACCTCTCATGCAGTCCCCTAGTCCCGACCCTCCCTGCCCCATCACCACCACCCCCCCAACCCCCCTGGGCTCCTGGTCGCATGCGGCCCCCAGTTGACTTCCTATGCGCAGAGCGAGGTCGCCCGTAATTAGGGATGGGATAATTGCTGGTTTATCTCGGAGGCAGCCGTCTCGCCACTTGCCGTCGTTGAGAGAGCGAGGGGTGTCATTTAGCAATCACGGGGTTGAGGTGGGGGCGCGTGCACGCGCGCGCATTCACCCTTTTTGCGCGCGCGTGCTTTTTACGCACTCGTTTTGTCAATATTAAGCGATGTTCACGCACGATTATGCCGGTCACCCAACTGTGTCATGTGTTATGTATCGCACGGCGTTTGATTGTGAGGTTGTTGATGGTAGGACTTTTTTTTTCCCCCACTACTATTCGTGTTGTCTTTATTATGATTGTTGTTGTCGTGAACTATTTGTACCGCGAGTACGAAGAGCAAAAAAAGTTCCACATATGAGCAAGGGATGGGCGTTAAATTCCGTGCACTGTACAGAACGGACATTCGGAACCCTTGCGATTCAAATGGACACTCCGGGTCCTCTGTGTGCGTGCGCGTGGAGAAATCCACACGCACCACCGCAGCACTCCCCCCTTCAGTGATCGCTGGACACATAACCAAGACGGAAAGAGAGAGAGAGAGATGACTGGACATGTCGCTATCTACCACAAAGCAGTTACCTTCACCTTGTTTTAAAAATGATCTTTGTTGCTGTATAGAATCACTGAGCGGACCCCCCCCCCCCCCATGTTATAATTGCACCATACGCTTACAAAACGCAAGAAGATGAAGGTTACGGGCAATTATTTTCAAACTCGCTATTCGCGTAAGATCAAGAATGCCTCCTGCGTTTTCATCATTGTGAATACGGCCAGTCCTAATAACAGATGTTGCTCCTTTAAAAATGCTCTCTGCTGCAGTCCAGCTGGGAGCACGCAGTGATGTCAGAATTCACAGATGGTGATGGTCATACAATAAGCCTGGATTTTGTAGCCAGGGGCCGTAGTGGGGGGGGGGGGGGGCGTGTTAGGGTGTGAGTACAGCTCAGTATCAATTCCAACGGTCCAACGATGCAGCCGAATCTCACCCCCCCACCCACCCACCCCTCTCTCCCTTGCCCGTGTCATGCCTGGAGGGGAGGGATACGACTGGCGTTAGTGACAACACCCTTTAGACAATAGCGGCTCCTGGAGTCGGGCGGAGTTGAATTCGGTGGTGGGTGTGGTCGATCGGAAGAGCCCCGGCACTTGCTTGGGGGGAGGGAAGGGGGGGGGGGTGCTTCCAGCTGCCGTGTGTCTGTGCCGCGCTTGAGAAGCGGCGTTTCTGTGCGCTCGCGCGCGTTGTGGCGTAGCGGCGGTCGCAGTGGTTGGCGCGCTGCGCTACAAACACGGCCACCCGAGTTCGATTCACGCTCACGGCCAACACAGAGTGACGATTTACCTGAATCGGTCATGGGCCTCCCCTCTGTCGTCTCAACCTCAAATGATGTGTAAACATCGCCACTCGGGAGAGAAACGGTGGCCGGGCGTGATGTTGGTCACCCACCTTCTTGTGTGCGCGCAGAGCCTTCATCCGTGCTCGCTAACAGCACTTGTCCTAAAAGTATGCTTACACTATAAAGGGGAGTCTTTGTGCGTGTGTACGCGGTTGTTGTTGGCTTTAACCAAACTTTGCATAGAATACACGAAACAACGCTGTGGATGTGTGCGTTTTCAATTGTATGTAAGGTAATACACCATTTATTCTAAACTATTTGCACAAGTTACTCTTGATGGCAGGTACAGCTTACTTTTCCAGGTTAGAAGGAACCCATTTCTACTAATCGATAGAGACACAGGTGAACAAAATTTGTCAAAAGCTAAACAAATCTTTCTCCACGTTATAAAATAGCAAAAGGCTGGGGTAAGGATGCATCAACGATTTGGCAAAACATTGGCCGGCATGCTCTCAGCAGGATTTGCTTAGTCCATGGCAAATATTTTCACGTAAAAGCTTCTGTAGTTTTTTGAGACGGGGCGAATACTAGAGCTTTAAAATCAAATCTCTGTGAGTCTGTGACTGTTCCGTGCGAGGCCCTTTTGCCTTTTTGCCAAGTGTGTTCTTTACTTCCATTGCCAGAGTTCGCATGAAACAAACACATACTACGTTATCATCATCGCAGTAAAACTCAGACTCTTGAGGACACTTGGGGAACGGCGGTTGCCCATCGTTGGATTGGTCAGCGGTATCTGAAATCGCCTAATTAAGAATGAACAACTCCTAATTGGGAAAATCAGGACTTCCAAAGAGTAACAAAAGATTCCTTGTGACGGGAGTCTCGGCAGGGGATGGTTAAACGGTCAACCCCTGCCGCGCCCTGCCCTCCTCCATCCCCAACTGCTGACACGCGCACGCACACACTCACACATGCACGCACCAGTGTTGATTGATGTCCATGTCAAGCGGTGCCACCTACACCGCACCTCACCACATGCTAAACTCATTTCCGGGCTAAAGGGATACTGCATGCACTCTAGCCAGAGCTGCCTGCCTCGGTGTGTCAGTTGAAATTGACTGGACGCTTTGCAGAGCTGACCAGTGAAGGCCATAGCTGCATTGCTTAGCACTTTACTATTTTGTTTGAATTGTATTGTTTCGCTCTTGGCTTAAATGCACTCGCGTGCACGATGATTGGATGGTATTCTTATCCGTAAGGAGAGATAAAAAGGAGTGAATGTCTTAACCGAAAAAGCTAACTTTCAATCCTACATTTTAAATATATATTTTTTTAATTTTACATTTAACTTCGTGAAAATCGACTTCTCGTAATTGCAATATTATCTCAGCTTTGAGAAACAGAGACACGAAATATTATTGTCACGTTATATTTTTTTCTCAAGTTGAGAAAATAGTCTGCGAGGGGGGGTCAAGAGAGAGGTTGCCATAAATAAAAGGTAAACGGAAAAACAACAAGCGCCGTGATTGGCCCCTCGTGACATCACTGTCAGGGGGGTTGGTGGGCCACAATGTCTGGTGCTCCCCAGAAAAAAATTCCGCGTGCCCACTATATAAAGTATCTCCTTAAGGCTCGCAATTGGAGCGTGACCAAAGGCGTCTGCTAGGAAGCGATTTTTCACCGAGCCTTGGAAATTAATCTTTAGTTTTTACCCCCCACTAACCAACTTTCTTTTTTCTTCCATGTCTCTTGGGTGCAGGGGTGGGGTGTGTGGGGCCCGTGTTGAATAGGTGGATTGTAGTTTGGCCTAGAAGGAAGGTGGCCAGCAGGCAGGGTTTACGCCACGGTGGATGACGTGATCTGGCACGTACGCGTGTGGGGCGAGCGGAGCTGATTTGTTCTGTCCAGCGCCGATAGTAAGGGATTGGGTTTCAGCGGCACATGATAGCGTGGTAAGACCCGCGACACATTGCACGTGTACAGTACGGGCACATGCGCTTCTCTGTACATCTGTGAAATCCGCGTTTGGCACGACTGTCACGCGCCCCGACGTGCACGGCTGCGCCAACGCGTGCACTTGGAACCTTTGCACGCCGCGTGTGGCGACGCCGCGTGTGGTTACGGCAACACGGGTGAGGAGGGACAGTGGGACATCATGAATGCCTCTTTGCAATATACAGTGTGGATGCCAATTTTAAAATTGTAAAATTTTCCTCCCCTGTCCAATTTGGGTGAACGGTAATTTTCATTTAAACTCAGTGGAGGGGGCATTGACACTCGCGACGTGGACCCCCATAGCTAACTCTGATATTTAGAATGTGTCGATTCATTACTTTATTTGTTTTGATCTTTGCATTTTGCCTGCGTGACCTTCTTTTTCATCACGTCATCCCTCTGTCTCCATTTTTTTTAAGTTGTGGTCTGCCTGAACAAGCATTTCTGCCTTCTTTTGACATCCCAGTTGCCTCCTGTGGCGTGAGGACCCTTAAACGGATGTTTTTTTTCTTGACGGCAGGCAGAGGCTATTGATTCATTTGGTGATTTACAGAGAGCATCAGACGTTCGGCAGACAAGGAGGGCTTCCTTTATAGCAGCACATGGAAGAAGCGGGGGGAAAAAAGTCATGGAAAATTCTGCAGAACTTCCGTTGCTTTTGTGCGGGGGGTGGGGGGGGGGCATCTGTTTTTTTCATTTTAACATGGAATGATAAGAAAAATGGAAAAGGCAACGTATTTCTGCTGCTGAAGCACATTGTGCATTAAATATGCGTAATATAGGCTTCAAGCGGACAGCATTTTTATGCGGGGAATGCGATGATCGCAAAGAAATAAAATTAAATGAAACCGTTTCCCTCCGAAAGGAGATTTCATTTATTTAAAATCAATTAAATTAAATCACATAAAACTATGTTTTAAACATTTAGAGCAAAACAACGGTGCCATGTATTATTTAATTTACATACACAGTATCAATTATTAAGGGATCTCTCCTTTGCCGAATGTAGTTATTTAAAAAGAAATAAAGAATTGCCCTGTTTAATGGTTCTTTTGAAATCCAGTGTGAAATTACACGCATCTCGATAGGCAATGCATCAGGCTAATGCAAGCATACAAAACACTTAGCAATAGTGGTCTTTCCTAATGTAAATATACTATGCATATGAAAACAATATTATCTAAAAAATATGTTGTAGTGGAATTGTGTTATTTAGTTATTTTTAAATCAAACTCATACCTACAAGATTCCGTACCAAATTAAGCATTGTATGCACACTAGGCATAAAACATCTAGGTGGAAAAAAATATTGAACAATTTTGACTACATTCACGTGCAATATATGTGTAACGTTACGTGGGTGTTGCATAAATA